AGGTCATGCTGTGCGACTTTGAAAGCCGTTAGAGAGATGAGTGGACGCATTTGAATTTGTAGTATACCAAGGTATCCAGTGATGTAATTTTACCCACAAATGGACTTGAAGTTTTTAAGCAAATTTTTTTTAAACCACTTTTGTCCAAAAAAGCATATTTTTGACCCAAAATCAAAAACGCATTCTGGATATTTAAAATAAAGACAAGTTTTACAAAGTTTGTATAATAAGCTTTCAGAAAATATATAACATGTTGGATATATAATACCATCTTCATTGTCTAATTACTCAATTAAAAAGCAAGCCAAATAAACTGCATCTCTACCTTAATTCGCGGCGGCGTTCAAAAACCTGTTTAAAATTGTATCCTATTAATTCGCGGACCAGAATAAAGTGGATAACTCAGAATATATTGCATGTAGACATTAAAAATATACATTATGTTATCAGTACTTGGTGTAGCCGCAATCGCAGATGATCTCCGTCATCACAGCCTTTCAGTTAGCAAGCAGTTTAGGTTCGGTAAAGATTTGACCTGAAAAAAATCATTCCCCACGACACTACAGATGTTGGGCAAGATTATTACTTAGTCGATAAAAAATCTATCGGTCAGCACAATGATTACGAATTTCTGTGGTGGAAAGCTTAGTACAGGGCTTTTTCGTCGTTAGTGAACCGCCCTATGGTGCATAAATTGACGTTTTTGATTGGTCGGGCGATTGATCTCGTGTCACAAGCGATCATGTACGTTCTATAAATCTAACCTTGCACACATAATCTTGTACTGACGTATTTTTTGTCCAAGAAAGACGTTCCTTTTCATTTAACCCTCAGTTAACTCTTTGCGTCCATGGTATTTGTGAGAGTTGAAAGATTTTTTGAACAAATGACAAGTAACTACCGGTATATTGATTTGCGTCAAGCTGGGTGGCCCAATGCCGCACGTAATTCAAACGCGTGGTTAAAACAAAACTAAATATCATGAAAGCAATACATTACGAAGTTGAAATATTCAGAGCCGGTACAATATTGTAAACAAATTTGTGTAATTAGAAAAGCAGTGCACTAAGTAAACGACATTGATATATTCAAAGCCAGTACAGAGTTACATACAAGTTGCGTAATTACAGTACCTTCGGATATAATAACAATTTTACTAAATTGACGCGCGGGGCACGAAAGAAAAGGTTGCTAAGGTAACGTGCCAGTTCAGTGCGTGACTTGGGGTCAAACTTCGGTCAACACACACTTGACGTCAGCATCGCCGCGCAGCAAGTTTCACAAAGAAGTACTTGAAGTTCAATTGCGTCCCAAAATGATGTCGCTGAATACTCAGTTGTCGCAGCGTGTCTTGTGTCATGTCCATGATGCACCCCGTTTCGACTTTGGCTTGCGTTTCCTTCTTAGTGCATGTTCTTGTTCACGTAAAATGCGACCTCACACAATGTATTGAAACGCTTTGAATTTATACTTTGCATGATTATATTTGGTCAACGCAAAACATAATTTTTTCTAAAAATTTTTTGAGATCATTTTTATCAACGAAGGGTATTTTTTCAGACAAGATGGGCTTGTAATATCTGCCATAACATCGCCCGGGCGAAGCCTAGAAAAATAAAAAAAGGCAGTGCAGCCAGACGGCTACTAGCCATGTGTTCATTGTTAGTCCCCATTCGGACGCAGTCCGAAAACGGGGACTTATGTTTTGACCTCCGTGCGTGCATCTGTGCGTGCATCCGGACCTGTATCTTAGAAATGCCTGGACCAATCACAATCAAACTTCAAACATACATCATATATGACATTATACATATGCACATCATTTTGTTTTATGATCTGATTCAAGATGGCCGAATGGCGGCCATTTTTGTGCTGAAAAATCCTAAAAATCAAGCATTTCTCGGCTGTTTACAAATGAATTTTGTTCAAACTCGATATATACATTAGACATTATGGGACCTTGATGCAAATAATTTTGTTTTTCAGATAAGATTCAAAATGACCAACTGGCGGCCATTTTGTTTCAATGAATGTGGTTCTCGTGCCATACATGTATCTCTGACTTGCTTTCTCTGATTATGTTCAAATTTTAAATATTCATTATACATCATGTCATAGATAAACAGTTACATTGGTTTGACAATCCTATTCAAAATGGCCGAATGGTGGTCATTTTTGTGCTAAAAAATCCTCAAATATCAAGCATATCTGGCATTTATGGATGGATTTCGTTCAAACTTGGTACATACATTAGACATTACGGGTTCCTGATGCACGGCATTTTTTTTTTT